CCATTCATTTCTGCTGAATTAGAACGATACCATCCAAAATAATATACAGAAATGATGGTAAATTCTACACGACACAAAAAGTTTCTTGTTAAAATGGTGGAAACAGAGTTTTAAATTTAAAAAGTGGTGGCCCCTAAACATTACAAAGAAACGTGTTTGTCTACAGACTCAATGGGCAGAAAAGAAGAGAACAAAAACATCACTTTCCAGATTTCAAACTATTACCATTTCTTTTATTCTTCAAACCAAGCAGGGCCTGTAACAGCATCGGAATATATTAATGGTTTTTTCACTAACAACTTAAAAAAAACTTAAGATAAGTGATAGAATTTCATTTTTACAACACTTCTGGCCTATCCGGATGGTAAAGGACCAATTAATAAAAAAAATTGAAGCTATATGCAAGCTCTTGGACTACATACCAAAAAAAATCATTTTTTGAAGAGGTTATGCAGTGGCCTACTGCTCATGCAATTAATGATGATTAATGCTTATATTTTGTTTGAGAGACAATAAAATTTCCAAATATTTTTTTTTACTTCTGTTCTAAAACAACATGTCACTCTTTTTAAAACCACAATGTGACTTAAGAAAAAACAATTTTTACAAAAAATATGTAATGCATAATGTATAGGATACTGAAATATTGTAACAATTAATTTTAAAGCAATTTTTCATACAGCACTTAAAATTGTTTTTTGTGATTTACTCAAAACTATAATTTCTCACTGACGTTGTTTCTGAAATTACCGATTCATTTATAGTATAAATTATTAGATTAGTTGTGCAAGATTATTGTTAATACAATAAACAATATGGAGACTGAACAAGTAGAATCTGAGCAAATGAAAAATGGGTGAATGAGTGAATGGGTGATGAGACTTTAAAATTAACTAGTAGTCTGATGTGTGTTGCTAGATCCACAATGCTTAGATTAATAGAACGCCAATCTGGACCCGTTCAATTCCCTATTATTGATAAAATTACATGTGTTGAAGAAGGTACAAAGTTCCAAAATTATTTAGAATGATACAGAAACTATTGAAAGAACGGGAATTCATTAGTAAAAAATATCTTTTGATTACAAAAATAATTAGAGAAGCCAGAGAGTAAATTAGTAAATATTTTACCTAGACGAAACATGGATAAATGTATAATAGTTTCTAAATACTGACACGACGTTAAGATTAAATGAGAAAGGCAGTCATTCTTGGAAGGATGTCAACAGGTCTGAATCCGGATAGAGGAAAAAGACTTGATTATTTGTGCGTATTGGAAGTTCTGAAGGTTTTGGGAAGATGGATTATTAACTTTTAGTTCAAAACGTATGAGTGGCTATTAGGAAGACATGAATGGGAATGTTTATGAAGACTGGTTTGTTAAAATGTTAGATATGATACTGACATCATTGTTATGGACAATAAAAGTTATCATTTTAGGTTACAAAAAACATTGTCAATACTTATAGTAGGATAAAAATTTTGGCCTTATTTCCAAAATATAAACATAGCAAAAGATTTTTTATGAAAAGAGGTACAAAAATACATTAAAAGAAACGTTGTATATTATACTCGGACTTCTCCCTCGCCATTCTGAGGTAAATCCAATAGAATTAGTTTGGGATCAAGTTACGATGGAAGTTACCCAGAAAAATACTATTTAAAAAAAAACATATTAACTAACCAAAGTGCCAGAGCTCACATGGGTAAAGATAATTGGAAGAAATATATTGACTCGATAGTATCAATAAACGGCAATTGTTCTAAGTCTGGTCTAAATTAAAATATGATAAATGTAATAAATCGTTAAACCACAATATCTTAATTTTATTTATTCCCAAATGCGTACCACTTGTGAGTTAAGAATCTCATCATCATCATTAGCTCCACAACCCATGGTGGGTCTTGGCCTGCTCAAGAATAAGTCTCCATTCCCTCCTATTCTTCCCCTTGGTTTTCCAGTTTCATACTCCCAACATTCTCAAGTCTTCCTCCACCTGAACCTTAAATCGTGCCCTGAGTCTGCCTCTCCTTCTCACTCCATCTATTCTTTGGTTATAAATATGTTTTGGCGACCCTTTCAATACATGTTACGAGGTAGAAGTATCTGTATAGTAGAGAAACAGGACAGCTGTAATAAACATTCAAATGTTACCTTTAAATTTCGTGATACAGTTGGACATGTGAATATTGAACGATGATTTATTAGTCTGCGTAATGTTTAGACCTCAAACCTGTATAATAAAAAAATCAGTCCTCATATTTGTATAACTAGAGACTCTATTGTAGTTTCTTTATTACAAATGAATAAAATCATAATGGCCCCAATATCTGTTTGTGATAAAAATTTTGCACGAAGTTAAAACATACCCCTCAACGAATATTGAGTATTTTAAACTGTGTAACTGGACATTGTATTCGTGTATAGAAGGTAATGAAACAATTAGATATTTTATACATTCTTAATATTCGATTTAAATTGTCAAAATCCTATACATTTTTTAAATCTACCTAAGCTCTACCTAACTATTTATTATATTTTATTCGTTTAAATAAAGGTTTATAAACTACTCAGACACTTTCATATACGATACTTAAATTACAAAATAAAAATTTCTAATTTACATTGACTACAGCTATATATAAGTAGAGCTCACAAACTATATAAAAAATAATATTGAAAACTGTCATGTCTGCCCTTATCATTTATACTTTCAATGTAAAGATATTCAAATCGGACAATTTTTTGACACTCATTATTTACCTTGGTAGTATTTCATTGCTCTGATCAAGCCTGCTAATCGATGATAGAGTTATAGAAAATAATGGTGAACTAAAAAGGATACAATTAATTTTAAATAATAGAAAAACATACATAGACTAAAACAAGTTTATACATAAAGAAAATCCCAGAGGATTTGCATACATAAGTCTTTAAAATTTAATGTAATATTCATATTCTATCACAAGTACATAAAAATATAGAAATTTGTTTAGAGATGTATTGCTTGTATTATCAATTTATGGAATTTTTTTATAAAAAACCAACATTTATTATTTAAATTCATATATAACTTACAGTAGTACTCAGTATGTCTTACAGATTCATCAGACCTACAGTAATAGTTTAGTCCACATTTAGGTACCATCCCTACAACAATATCTCGCTTGTGGTCTCGTTAATAAAAGTTAATTATACATCGTATAATTCAGATATATCTGCCATTATTCGTCAGTTTTATGCTAAATTTATACTACTTTCTATAAATATTTCCCTATTCAAATTACATTACATTTTATTTTGTTGCCAAGGTGTAGTAATAATAATAATAATCAAAAGGTGTAGTGTTTACAAGTACAGGGAATATGTAGATTATTTTATTTGGCGAGACAACCTCACTTAATTAACTAATAGCACCGAGGCTGACTTGCGATGTAATATTAGCACACGTTTAAAAAATTTAGAGTTTATAAAGTAAATAATGAAATTAAAGTCTACGTTCAGCTAAACATCATACAGTGACTTATATTACAGAATTATTCACCAAAATTATTTCCCAGAAACGTAATTGTTAAGAAAATATCACCTAACCTTTTCAGATAAACTATAAACATGTGGCGATATAAATCGCAGAAATAACCATTAAAGCAGGAAACAATGGCGCGTATCTACGGTACTAAGGGTGATAATATAATATTGAATGTTGGAACAATGAGATAAGATCACATACTTAATAAATTTGGACACACAACATGCTAGTTTCTCTGTTTGGTTTTCGACCACGTTTGAGATTTGTTGGAGTAGTTCCAAAACGGTCACGAGTAGTTTTAGAAAAAATTATCACCCTAAATATTACATGAAAAAGAACAAAGGTAGAGAGGTAAAGAAACTTCGGTCCATAATTGATAACCGGTACATAAAGTTAAATCAGTAAATTTAGGTAAAAGCTAGTTAAATTTGGTAAGTCAATTTTATTTTGCTGCCATTGTATTGTGTTAATTTCACTGACATGACTTCTTCAACTTTCTAATATGTGAACAATTAAACTGATCGCCTAGATCTAAATCGACCATAAAAAGGACCAAAAACGTTTCTTCCTGACCTTAATTATATAAAAAAGATTTTTAACCATGATTTTTTGAAATCTCATAGGGATATTTAATTTCATCTGTTTTTATTATCTTCGATAATGCCACTCTTTCTCCGTCCATTTCAATACTGTCAGTCAAATTTAACACTTTTATATTTAGTAAGGATGCTACAGCAATCAAAAATATTAAGTACACAGAATCAATGACTTCGAATGCAACAGAATGTAAAGAACCCAGAATACAATGCACTGAAAATAATGAGGCATTCACACAAGAGAAAATTAATCAAAATGAATTTGTCGACATAATGATTACAGAGGGTGAGATGATGCATATTCGTGCGACAATAAATAAAAACACCAAAACGACAACAATTATATAAGTAATACAACCGTAATCGCCACCATAAAAAGGCTGTAAAGCTATGTTTACTTCAAACATGTGTGACCTAACGAACTCATAAATAATTAATTATTAAAGTAAATACATACTAGTATTACTATAAGACAAAGAACCAAAATTTAATCTTTCTTTAATTGTTACGTGTGTCTACTGACGTATTTAGAAATATTGTTCTGATAAAGTATAAAGTAGGTTACAATAATAAAATCAATTATGCAGTAAGTTTTTTTGTAGTTATATTAAAATCCACCGTAAATTCTCAGAAACTGATAATACATAACTATCATCATCTTAATTACTGGATTCATATTGAAAATGCTTTGGAACATAACAAGAAATGAAACTGTTATCCACAAAATAATAAATTCTTGCAATGAAATAAATAAACTTATTTACAAACGATTACAGATAAAATAATTATGTAAGGTGATCTTGAGAGTATATATACAAAATATTAAAAATGATGGTATATGTACACCTAACCTACAAAATATAATTATAAAAGCAATGACCAAATAATTATGAATCACTTTCGTAACGGTTCATAGTATACGGAGAAGTTCGAGATACAGTTTAACACAAGTACACAAATTTTTTCTGTATTTTTACACAAACACTTTGGCCAAGCCGTCTGCGCCCGCGCTGGCTATATATGGCCTTGATGGATGGAAAGCGACATCTAGAATACTTTCATCGAACTTCTTACGATGAGCAGTTATTTCTTGTACACAAGTTTTGTTGTCCAAGTGCCATAACCGAATTGAACAATCGTGCGATCCTGAAAATAGATCATACATGTAACAAAATTAAAATTAGAAGACACTACATTTTAATTACTATTTAACTGGGAATAAGCCATAATTAAAGGTTAAAATACGTTTATTGACGTTTCAATTCCCACTTCGGAAATCGTTCTCAAAATACAAACAGTAAATTAAACAAATTTTGTTTTTTGTTACTTAGTGAACAGTTTTTCTAATAATTTAATTTTATCTGACTCATTTATATTGACAATTCAGACATACATTATGCATTTTAAAGTAGACGAGTTTAAAATGATATTGCCAATATAATTGAGTTGCGCTCCTGGGACGACTTTACTTATAAGATAGTTCATTCGATTACATGAAATTAACTTTAACTTGAGAATATCCGTCAGAAAAAAAATCATAGCATGTAATTCGTCTTTAAAAAGACGACACATGCCATGATGACAGTAAAATTCTCCTGTTAGTGATTCCATAGTAAATTATGAGGGAAAAACCAGCAAAAATAACTCATAATACTATCCCGACATGGTAAGTATTTGGTCGTGCATTTAGTTTACCTTCAATAAACACCAAACTTTGATTTTATATGTTTGTTATTTAAAAAACATAAATGATGTATCCTCTATATGTTACTGACTTACTAATACTGGTATGTTCTTATTAATAACTTCCTCTTTCAATATGGGTAACCAGATCCTACCACATTCTGCCGAGGAATTTGCGACACAATTGGTCTCATTTAGCATAATTAGAGCCGCTTCTTTGATTTTTATTTTTTACCATCCGTTTCTTTAAGACTACATTTGAATTATGCCATTGAACTCTATGTTCATTATCCTAACTCACTTATTCTAACATTTAATGGCCTTGATGTTTCACCTAAATAAAACTGATCGCATTCACAAGGTATTTTATAAATGCAATTCTTTGTCCTTTCTTGTTCATTGTTAGGTTTGGTTTTGGACAAAATAGATCTCAACGTGTTTGTTGTTTTGAATGTTGTTGAAATGTTGAATTTATTTCCTATCCTTTTAAGTTTTTCTGATAATCCTTTTATGTACGGTATTATTATTTTCCTCGTATTATTCCTTGTGTATGCTGTAGGATCTCGTTCTAAGTTGTTCTGTTCTATTCGATCGATTGTTGGAAGTTCCTTATTTATAAACGATAATCATTTTTTAATAAAACAGATGTTAACAAATGTTTCTCCTCCAAGAACGAATTTTCGTTAGAACAAGTAATTTTGGCTCTATCGTATAAGGATTTAATGATTCTCTTTTTAATATTAATATTGTGATTTGATTTGAAATTTAAATATCTATTGGTGTGTGTTGGTTTTCTATACACCTGAGTCTCATATCCAGTATCGTTCTTAGAGATTAAAACATCCAGGAAAGGTAGCGTGTTATTATATTCCTTTTCCATGGTAAATGTTATTGTCTCTTCTTTATCGTTTATATATATTTAGGAATGTGTCCAACAACTCTGATCCATGATGCCATATTGAGAATACATCATCTAAATACCTCCACCATACTGTGGGTTTTAAATTTTGTTTAGAAATGATATTTGTTTCAAAATCTTCCACAATTATATCGGCTAATAATGGAGATAAACTAAAGCCCATTGCTAGACCAAAATTTTGTTTATAGAATTCATTATTTAGTTGAAAATATGTATTATCAGTACATAATGTTAATAACTCCATTATAGCCGATATGTTTAGCCTTGTTCTAGTTGCCAATGAATCATCACTTTCTAATTTTGTCTTGACTATATTTACAGTCTTATTTAACGGCACATTCGTAAATAAACTATTTATGTCAAAACTCACCAAAGTATTATTTGAATTAAATTCAATATTTGATAATCTATTTAAAAAATGTTATGTATTTTTTATGAATGTGTCATTTTTATTTGCAAAATTGGTTTAAAATATTTAATAAAAATTTTGATAGTTCACTACAAGGAGAATTCATGGTACTACAAATGGGTCTAAGTGCTATATTCGTTATATGAATTTTCGGTACTCCATAAAAATGAGGGGTCTTACTGTAATGAGGTGTAATTAATCCTCTCTGATAACTTGTTAAATAATCTTTAAACTTGAATAAAGTTCTATATATTTTGTTTTCCAAAGGCATATTTTTGAATTATATTTAAAATATACATATTTGAAAATTTGTGGGCAATATGTAAGGCAATAAAATGTGGGCAATACTGCAAAAATTTGACTGTACGACAAAAACAAAAATGATGGAAGGAGCAAACAGTTGCAAAAAACTTGTGGATTCCAGGCTTAGAAGACTCCAGGAAGTCATAAAAGTAAAAGGTGGACATATTAAATATGAATTAATGAAAACATCTCATGTAAGTGTACCTAAATTTACCTTTGGCCTAAATAAATCAGATTTACAAATTAATTATGTTTTAACAACAATACTTTAGATAAGCCTTATGATATAGAAGATAATAATCCTATAGTCCAATCTATTAGTTTTAGATTATTCAAGTCACATATTAGCAGCTTTATTTTCGACATAAGTTTATTCTATATATAAAAAATTACCTGAAAGTATATAAAGTCCGTTTGGATCTACAGCTAAACTGGTAACAGCGTCCAAATGTGCAACCATTGAATGCACCATTTTTCCAGTATGGTTATCCCAAAATCGAATGTGTGTGTCCTCATGAGCAGTGATGGTTAGAGGTAGTGTTGGATGACAAACAACCTTGTTTATTTGTCTAGCACGGCTATTTACACCTAATTACAAAAAATATTTTAAACATTGAATGTTTTAACACAATTTAATTAGTTGAAACAATCATAGTCATATTAAAAAATATTAGAATATAAATCTGCCCAACAATTTTATACCTTGAAAATCATAATAAGGAGTTAGGCACCTAGAGAATTTTCAAAAAAATATTTTTTTGTTGCGTAACCCTCAAACACACGCACAGCACACGGTGCTTTCGACCGGGCTTAGAGTATTTCAGTTTGTATTAAACCACGTAACTTTCTAATCGTTTGTGAGTTTAGGTGTGCCTTTTAGAACTATTTATGATAAATGAGCGCAATTTTCTACTTAAAAATTGGTTTCAAATAATCCTCCGACAATTTTTGTGTGCTTGTGTTACAATATTTTTTGGTGTTTGGTGTTTAAATTTTATAGGTTGTAACACATCGTATTGGTAGGTGAAGAGGACAAAAATCAAAGATTTTAAAAATTCTGACTCGGACTTGAAGACTTCAATGAACCAGATTAAAGGAAAGATGATGTATCTGTGGTTAAAGATGACGATCTCGAAGTGTACGAAGAATAGGGTGGTTCATCTGTAGAGAACTGTAATGTAGTTACATTGGCAAGGACAATTTAACCGTTTGGAGAAAATATGCTCTATCAACTATTAGAAAGAAAAGAATACGGAATGTTCTTCGCGAAACCACAGGACCTATATCGAACTGTAAAAATTTGCAAACTTAAATGGAAATATTTTTCCAGTTCTTTAAAGACATGTTAGATGTAGTTATGTGTACTAATACATATGTTCGAAAAATAAAACCAAATTTCTCAAGGGAGCGAGAGGCCAGGAAAACAAACCTCGCGGAACTGAATGCTCTAATAGATTTGCTGTTTTTTATTGAAATATTGAGATCTCGACATACTAGCGTGAAAAAAATATGGACAACGAATGGCAAGGGAATTGAGTTGTGTTATTTAACGATGGAAGTGGAGATGTTTATTTTTAATAAGAGCTCTTCAATTCGATGACATAACTACAAGCAAGGAAAAAGAGGCAGGACTAATCACTCATTTTTCAGCGCTTTTAATAATCACTGCATTTGTAATTAAAATCTAACAGAATGTGTTACAATAGATAAAATATTGGAGTCATTTCGAGGAAGGTACAGTTTCAAGCAATATATGCCACCAAAACCAAATAAATAAGACAAAAAATTTTGTAGTTGGTTAATGTTAAATGCTTCTACATCAAAAACATGGAGATATATCCTGGGAAGCAGAACGAAGATATGCCAAACATTTAATTTTATTATCACGTTACTAAAACGTCTATCTTGATTTTGAATAGGTCCCAACGAAGGTATAAACGAGATGACGTCGTAAAGCAATTGACACCGCATTTAGCGTTCTGGAAAGAAGTGACATTCGACGATATTCGAGCGAATATCCCTAAAAAAATAAAAAAAAACAAATTTCGGAGGTAATTAATCATCCATTACCAGAAAAACCGCAAACTTCTATTTCAATTGCAAGTATTATTGATGCGAACGAAAAAAAAAATTTAAAAAAAAAACAAAATCTCACTGTATTCCTTGTGAAAAATATATGCCAAGAACACATGACAAAACTATGTGAAACTTATTATTCCGCCATCAAATAAACTTCTAATAACGATGTATAACACTTCAAACACCAAAAAATAGTACTTTTAAACAATATAATATGCAGATAACGCCAAATGTCGAAGTCCTTTCTGCGCAGAAAATGAAAAATAAAAAACAGTAACAAATTTTAAATAACAAAAATAACTCTGAATAAAGAATAATTTCAAAGATTTTTTTTTGAAAATTCAAGCCATGATATTATGACTAACAAGATAGGATCTTCCTGTAGCACAAAATCGGTCGTGTTCGCGCATGCCGTCATTGGAGAGTAGAACTTGAATTCTTGTTAAAGGTAAATGGGATTTGTATGCATTCTGTGATGAAATTATTCAATTAGCAAAATAATATTAAATGACTTTTTTGTGTTATTTATGTACAAAAGATAATAATAATATAATATTTAAAAAACTATAAGAAGAAACTAGACGAAAATAAGTTAAGAGGTTTAAGAATTACAATAATCGTAGGCATAAGGATATTTCCAAACTATTTATTAAAGATTATTTATACATACACAAAACTGACATTGAAAGTATGTATTTTTACATTTAATATTTTTTCTGTTACGGTACTGTAATGTGACCTAATTTAGTGCTGTATTGGCTTCTCTTTTGTATGGGTCAAAAATATACACACAAGTGTTAAGTGTCGTATTACTGTAGCAATTAACTTTAAACTATCGCCATTCAAAATCGTCCGACAATAGAATGATTTATTGTTACACTCTCTCTCGGGCCACCACTTAGAGGGTTACTTAGCTTTGACCATCTTAACGCACTTTACTTCTTCGTAACACAGTGGACGAAACTCACCACATTGACCAGTCTCGTGTGATTCGCCTCGGCGGCCGTCCCGGGCGTCGGTACCGCGACCAACTCTTCAGCCTGGTACGAATACATCAATAGAACCAAAGGGTAAGTCTATGTTCTTTGTACAAACAACGATAATGAGTAAAACCAGTCAATTTCATAATTTATTCACAATTTATAGTTGCTATTTTCGCTAATTTTATGTACCAACAAATATTGCATTGTTTCTTTATAATTATTTATCCAATATCATTTAACCAGCGACCTCTTAAGTTTAATCCTAAACATACAAAAAACTGACATTAAGAACGTGCAACTCTCCAATTAAGTCACGACTTATGCGCAATATCTTATCTTCTTAGTCATAGTATCATGATTCAAGCTTTTACACGAAACCACTATATGAGGCACATAGATACGAGAAAGGATAAAACTTAACTACTCCTTTAATTTTTAACTTCTGTTATTAACTGTAATTATTATGGAATTTTAAAAAATCTCTTTTTATTTAAGCCACATCCTCTATATGTCGATAAATAATTTACTACAAATGCTATTTCTATTTTGCCTCTATAGCTTTTCACTGTTCAGAACACTTGCTATTTTATATTCATTATATTTTTTCAATTATTCTAAACATATTTCGCATCTCCGCTCAAAGAGTGTTCTAACTCAAAAAAATAAAAACGGTTTTATTGTACCAACAGTTTAATATAACTACAAACTCTTATCTCACAAAGTGTCACGTCTATCGGTCAAGTATTTATCGGTGACACAATTTTTTTAAAAGAAATATTTTTAATTTCTATTACTTTCACTTCTTGTAATATTTTTATTTAGTTTTGTTACTTTTAGTTCAACTGGGATATTAATAATAATAATATTATATTTTGTATTGCTAAAACCACTTTAAATAAATAATATTTCGTAAATATTTCTTTATTTTATCTGTATAGTGTCGCAACTAAAAAAAAACAAATTTTTTTTGAACATTTTTAGTATACCTAATACGCAATTTTGTAGAACTTCAAAAACCATTGTAACTCACTAAAACAGTTATTGTTCTAATTTTAATACTTTTTGAATTAAACCCGAAAATATTGTAGAACAAACTTTAAACGTCGTTTTCTCGAAACATTGCTTTTTTGACTTATGCCACTATTTGAGGGGAGGTGCGATATGTTCTTCTTTTATTTTTGTAATACTCGCTTCTACGTCATTTAGATTTATTTATATCAGTTCGTTTCCGTTTTTTATGTTCATTTTCTCATTTTAAGTTTCTCTCGTTTACCTTTAGTAATAATATAATCAGAAATTCGTATTTAAAAGTTTGCATGATACTTTTTTATTGTTTATTAAATAGCTATGTTCTATGTATATAAACATCAATTTTTACTTACCATCAGGGGCAGTGGATTCTAAACGAGTTACAGGTTTTCCTGTTTCCGTATCAAATATGACACAGTTTAAACTAGAATAAGATGCCACAATTCGATTAGGTTCGTCCCTAACAAAAGCAACACTTGAAGGAATGCCATCTACATCGGAAACAAAAGTCGACAACAATTGTTGCTACAAAAAAAAAATAGAAATATAATTAATTTTATTATATTTTTTCTACGTTTATGCAAAAAAAAAGCTTTATTAACTATATTCGCTAAAAAAAACTTTTTTTATTGGATTAATGCAATTCAAGGTTTGGATGATACAACAGTTCTAGAAATATCACTCAAAAATTAATTACGACAATTGTACAATTTAAAGATTTAAAATTACTAATAATATTGTAAATGATTCTAGCAGAAGTCAGTAACATAGTAAAGATGTGATTAAAATAACAAATGCGTTATTAAACTTATAAAAAACTCATTTGTAATGATCTGATTCATTTGTATTAATTAGAATGCTTACCTTAGAATGCGGCGCCCACAATTTGACTGTTTTATCGGCAGAACATGACAATAACTGCTGTTTAGAATTTAAAACTGCTAATCCCCAAATAGCATCCGAATGACCATGAAGCGTAGAATTCAAAACATCAGGTTCATACAAATCGTATGGATCAATGTTGGAATTAGGAACATTCCAACAATTTATAGTGCCGTCTAATCCCCCTGAGTAGCAATGCTCTCCAGTTCCCGAAATAGCTAAGCAAAGAACGGGACCTACAAACATGAAAATCAAAGAATAAAAGTATGTTCATCATTTCTTATTGAAAAACAATATAAATATATACACATATGTCCGAAGTTTGGAATATTGGAATATTTCATCTTTTTATTGATTTTTATATATGTATAAACTCTTCTGATTAGTTAAACATCATTGTGTTTCAATTCTAAATAATAATAAATAAATACCAAAACCAGATAAACGATATGCAAAAAAATTATTTATTCTCTTGGAGTCAAGAACTTACAATGTACAACTTACATTTAAAAATAAATTAGTATAGAAAAAAAAAATTAGTATTTCCTCCATTGGCCTGTATGCATGTCTGTAGGCGATTTGGCCTGCTGCCGATTACCTGGTCGAGCTGGGCTTGCGGAATTCTCTCCCATTCTTCATGAGCAGCATCTTTTAGTTCTCGAAGTGTAATAGGTGGATTGTTTCGCTTCCTGATGCGTGGTTTGAGAATGCCCCAAGTATGTTTAATAACGTTCATGTCGGGAGAATTCGAGGGCTACTCTAATGTAGATATTCCTTCTTCCAGAAAATTTTGTACTGCTGCTGTTCGATGAGGAGGTGCGTTGTCATGCATAAACACAAATTCATCACCTACTGCTCCTCTCGGAATAGACGTACGACAGGGTTTAAAACTTCCTCGATGTACACAGCACCAGTGACTCTTCCCTCCAGAACCAGCAGTGGCGTCCGTGTACCTCTCATAATACCAGCCCAAACCATAATACTACCACCTTCAAATGGGACACGCGGTTGGGCTGTTTCTAGTCGGGCTTGTCGTCCTAAGGCCCTCCAAACCAGTGTTCTTCGCGAATCAGATACCAAGCCAATTTTTGACTCATCAGAAAACATCACGTTATTCCAGTTAGGTCCATGGTGCACCATTTCTCTAGCCCACTGCAACCTTACTATTTTGTGCTCGTAGATTAGTTTAGGAACACGTAGCGGCCAATACGATACAAATTTACCGCATTTAATCTGCGTGTTGTTTGCGTGAAATATTCATTCCTTGAAGCCTAGAAATTTCTCTGGATATACCACTTGTTGATTCCAGACGATTTCTACGAGCTGTCAATGTTATTTGCCGGTCTTGTGCTCCTGTTGTACATCGACTTCTACAATTTCTGGGACGTAACATCAGCAATATTCGCGATATAACTTTGACTAAAGCCCTGTTGAAACAAAGCAATTACTCTAGATGTGTCAAAATGAGACATCACGTTTCTAGGTATTTTTAAACGGACTTTAAACAAAGACTGAAATAATGTTTAGATACGCTAATCAGTTGAATGTAACCAAAATCATACAAAACCGATTCAAATTTGGTATCACTTTCATTTAAAAACGCTCTAGAATGAATATCAACAACAGTTTTAAAACCACCATAGGCGTAGATATATTATTTGTACGTATTTCAAACTTTTGGACATCTGTAATATCTTTTTTGGAGATTCAATGTTCTCCGGGAAGTGCCTAACTGATAGTGACGAATGGGTCACGACTGATCTACAAAGTTAACCAGCTCTACCAACGAATTCTACCTCCTACTTCCACGAAGACATAAGTCGCGTAATCCTCGAGCAATATGTCTACCCAAGTCCACTACCGAAATGAAATAACAACGCTTTATATAGCGACATCTAACTGCCGCTCGCTATCAAATCAATTAAGACTTAGAATTGAAAAAAGAAACTGAAAATATAAAACGAAACGTCATAGGAATCAGCGAAGTAAGACGAAAAGATGAAGGTCTATTAGAATTAGCGTCAGGAAACAGATTCTACTACCAAGGAACATCACCGGGCAGAACATAGTATTGGATTCCTAATCAACAAGAAATGGAAAAAAAGAAGTAGAAATAACTTGTAACTCGGATAGAGTAACTAGTTTAACCTCACAACTATCAAAGAGATACAATATACAAATATACGCTCCAAAGATTACTCACTCTGATGAAGAAATAGAGAAATTCTACAGTAATATAACTGAAGCATTCAATAACAATAAAAGTCACTTCAAGAATTTAATTGGTGACTTGAATGCCAAAGTGGGAAAGAGAAACGGTCAGGAACACGGCATGGAGTCGTCGCATGGGGATTATGAGCTTGGCACTCTGTCATGCTTGACAGTATTGCTCATGGGAGTAAAATACGCATGGAAACAAAACGAAAAAGCGATAGCCCAGAAGAGTATTCAGAAATGACTGACTCTTCTATATATTTAAATAAAAATATAAAAAGCACTAGCATAGAGTCGACACCGGTCGCGGACGCTCTCTGTTCCAAACAGGTTGAAACCGGCGCCAATCAGGGTGATACGGACAAACTTTCAGCACTATAAGGCAGCTTGGACGAGACGTACTGTTACTATGACAAGATTCCATCTTGCAGTGATACAAGATTCATAGATATAACAGGGGAAAAAAGGTATATCGGATGTTGACGTAGATCTCATATATAGCAGATCTATAAGTCCCGAGAACTTGTATGACAGTCCATGGAAGATGCACAATTAGCCAATTGATTGATGTACGACAGGTGTAGAATAGACGACTTCTACAGAAGAAAAGAAATACTAGACATATAGTAATTACCATATACTTATGTAAAGGAGACCAAAGTAAGTACAATAAAAGTTTCAAAATCCCAACAATTAAAGTAGTGTAAAAGTAGAGTACCATAGTATGTAGCTACTAATCTTCTAAGGTTTGTATTTCACAATCCTCTCTTGGGACAGAATGTTAAGTTCGTGATATGTTTATTTTGTTTGAAAGTTTTATTAAAAATTACCTGTATGACTCCTAAATGTATATAGTGGTTCTACATCCAATGATGCACTCTTCTTTGCTGGAACCGTCTTTTGGAGATTCCACAATTTTAAAGTATGGTCTTCACTAGCTGTTATCAAAAGTGGTTCTGTTGGATGGAAAGCTAAAGCTCTTACACCATCAAAGTGACTACGCAATGTATATTTAGCATTCCAGGTCTTTCTGAAGGCCTCCTAAAAAAATTTCAGGTTAAAAAAGCTAATATATCGCTTGCTGAGAACATTAGTGACGTAACCTCAAAAACGTAGTTTGTAGTAAAGTGCGTTTAAAGTTTTGGGGGAAATGCAATCTTTGATTGCTCGGTAGCTGACTGAATTATTGACGTATTTTCGATTTTATTCATCTAGGTAAGCTGACAGTTCACATAATACAGTCCTTTAACTGATGACAGAGGTATTTTGACAATTTTTTTTCAAGTTACGTCATTAATGCATTCAAGTACGTGGAACTTTTAAGATTTTGTGCGGTATTAGTGACGTATTATTTTATTAATTTGGATAAATTTATTAAAAACATGCTAATACAGTAACGCCTGTCAATAACGGTCACTAAAAATGACAGAACTATTGGCCGATATAAAAAGGTGGCCGCTAATACCAGGTTTTGTAGTCCACAAATTTTGGTTTGGGGAACTTTGTAACTTGCCGGCTAGTACAGGTGGCCAGTTTTGACAGGTGGTCGTTATAAATACCGTTATAAATAAAACCAAGATATTTGATCTAATTTTTATTTAAAAACTTAAGTATAAACATTCAAAACTTAAAATCAAAAATATTCCATAGAGTCGAAATACATCAGATAAAGAGAGAATTTTTCCAACGGAATATTATTCTGCGACCTTATAATTCAATGCATTGAAGAAAGGAGCATGTATAGGTGGTATAGATTTATTTTGGATGAGAGATTGTAGTCATCATACTTTTTCTTATTAATTTTAACAGTATCCAAATATGCTGGGATAGATCATAATTTTGTAGTAGTTGAGTTATTCCGCTCCTTGTTTTATTATTTCTGATTATAACTTTTTTTAAATTCTGTGCTGGTATAAGTAGTTTTATAAAAATAACGATCTGGATAATTTTTGTCGACTTTAATCATAACTATATCATTAAAGTTAAACTTTTCACCATTAATATTTACATTAAATGGCTGATTAGTACAATCGGATGTCATTTTTTTTAAGTCAACAAACTCATTATGAGCCATTTCATTGATTTTAAACATACTTCCTGTTTTACTAGCAGTACTTATTATTGCTGAGTATTGAGCTGGTAAGAAAATGGGGCCCGATTTCAAAGCTCGTTTGATGTTTTTTTTTTTTCGATTATGGAGTGACTACTGTCACCTTCGTTTTGACCATGTCCCACTTCAAAAAATTTATGGATAATACTTTTTATTTTGAAATTAGTAACTGCATACAAAAAGGTGGTTACAACAAATTTATTTTTGCCTTGTCCTCCACAGTTATCTGAAAAGAAGACTACTTCCAAATTTTCAGAGTCAGCTCCATTAGCCGTTTTTCTTAAATATTTAAGTAGGCAAGAACCTATTTCAATGGATCCACGATTCTCTTCTCGTTTCATGCCAAATATAGCACTCTACAGGACCAAGTCCTTTTTGTTGAAGGCTACAAACTGTAAAATTGTAGCAATTTAAACGAAACTTATAATAAAAGGCTGAAACGTCACCTTTAGGAAGTGGTAGAGCTGCTTGTAAATCGAAACAAGCTACGTGGAATAAGTTGGTAATATTGCTTTTGTCTGCATTTTTTTCTTGTCTGCTCAAGTTCTTTTCTAGAATATGAGATTCGTAATCATTTTTAAGGGAACTTTTACCATTCAGGTCAGAGTTCTCATAAGTTGTACATGTAAGGCACTGGTCTTTCTTTGGTGTATGAAATGACGTGTTCACGTAATGACGTGAATGTTAAAATCATAATTGAAGATATGCCTGTACATAGACAACTTTCCATGATTTTTCCCACTATCATTACACCACTGAACATAATCACGGTACAGATCCATCGCTGTCTTGCCTCCATCGATATACTTTTTCTGAGTATTCGCTCTTGTGTAATGACTCTCTACTGCAGGTATTGACGATAAGTGTTCATGCATACCTTTTTTTATTTCTTCGGGTACCTTATTTTTGCCTGTTTTACCCCTCTTTTCACTTTCCAAAAATCCGTCTTGCCGTTTTGAAGCTGTGGTTCTAATGAATCTTTCAGTGATCCCTAATGTAGATATAAAATATTTTTGACAAACTTGACGAGGATCGTCTTCTTTTGTAAAGTAGTAAGCTTTATTTAGTCCTCGCGGCCTCGTGTTAGTAGCATCTACTTTAATATATTTTTTCTGAATAGGACGCATGCAGTTCAATACATACGACCTTTGACTGTGTAAATCAGCCAATCCCCAAAAACTGTCAAATAACGACTTTCTCTCTCTTTACCGTGAAAGTACAATGGATGTATAAAAGTTTTATAGTGATTAATGCTAAAGAAAAAAATCCAAATTGTTACTTCTTGTATTAATGAAAGTTTTAAAAACACGAATAATAAGCATATTATACTCACTTTAACCTGATGCTAAGAGCATCTTCTCTCCCCTCGTACTCATTTTTGAGACAAATTGGCACAAATTTAATGTTTATAAACAATTGACAACCAATGATTAACTAGTTTAAGTCAACGGTATATTAGTATTAACTGATTTGTTTATCATGCACTACTGACATAAAGCACGAACTCGTCTTTCATAGGTTGAAAAATAATGCCTCAAGTTATTGCACTACTGACGTAAGTCAAGGTTCGTCACTAAGTATCTAAGCGTATGCTCAAAGTCTCGTCACTGTCCAGCGTACACTGAGTTGCACCACTAATGCATGCAGAAGTGGAACTAAAAGTCGCAGAATATTACTGACGTATAGCGCCATCAAATGATTTATAGTAGAATTATACTTCCGTCATTAAAGCATAATATCAAGTTCAATATTAGGAGTATGTCTAATAGGTTAAGTCAAAATTGGTATTTTTTGAGTTACGTCACTAATGTTCTCAGCAAGCGATATAATCTTAATAACAGCATATAATAGAAAGCTGAAACTGAAAGGACGCTAATTTTTTTTTGCTAACAACTGAAAAGATGCTAAAGTATTTTATTTAGTCAATAGATATTCTAAAATAAAAGCAGACAATCAAAAGTGGGCGTTTATTGCATGCCCAAATTTTTCAGAAAAATATATAATATTCTATTGTTAGTGGCTATCATCTGTGGATGTAAGCCATCACGTTAGGCCATAAATAAAAGATACTCCGCTAAACAATCTTGCACGATTGATGCGGATAATTAAAAAATAAATAAATCTAGTGTATTGGTAATAAAGATACTTTTATAGATCCTAAATATTTATGAAAAACATATTACTCACTAATTAAACAACTCACCTTACTACTAGCAATATCATATGTCGATTCAGCATCATTGTTAACAGTTAACTGAGCTAATTCCCCCAAACCAAGTGATGAGTCTACATTTTCTTCATCATTCATTCCTATAGGTCTCTTGGCTACAACAAAATTTTACATTACAAGTTAGATTTTAGAATCATCTTTAACAAACACATTTAACACTTATCAAAAAATAAAATATATAAAAGAAGATATGAACTTACCTTTGTTCCAATCAGCTTGTTCAGTTTTACTGTCTTGTTTTTTCTCTGCTTCGGAGAGTCTATTGAGTTCGTTGAACACTTCTAAGGCTATTGCATCAACATCATCGCCTAAACCTAAATCATTATCCATTTTATCTATAAAAACATTTAATTGTAACATATAAATAATATAACACATTGACTCGGTTAGTTAAACATAATTGGTTAAGTTAAAAGTAAAATAGACAATCTGGATTTGCAGTAATTTTTATCATAGACATCTAAAAATAAAACTTTGTATTTTACACATTTGTTAAAATCGTATTTGACATATAAAAACGTCCCAAAACCTTTTTAATTAATTTTGAAGTGAATCCACGCAACTATAAAAACGCATAAAAATATTACGAATTAATTTTACGTTTTTAATGTTGCCATGGAGATGAGAACGTTAGTTAGATGCAAACTTTTATGTTCCAATTTATCACTTAACTATTGTTTTATGCATTTTAAATATGTTTTAAAGTGAAATGTTTAGGAAACATTGTGAAATCGCCAACTACTTTAAGTTATTTTTTTGTGTTTAAATCCTCCACAAGATGCTTGATTACAATTTACATTTGTTGTTAAAAGTATCATTTCCAAATTGTCTGTACTCAATACAAGCGTGTGAATTAAATTATAATAAAATTTGTATTTTTAATAATATAAGGTGACCAGTAGGGTGGGCCGATAAAACACTCTTTTTGTTCCAAAGTTGTAATAGCGCAGAAAAGTTGTGAATTATATAGTGCAATCTTCGAATTTGGACCTTATCAAGATAATTAATTACTCAGTATGGCAGCGGCATGCGGTAGAACATTATAGTGCATTAACATGAATCTGTCATATCCAATGTCATGTTACATCAGTCATATAACCTAAATATAGCAAAACATGATCTTGCAGGATATTTAAAATGCCAGAGTCACTAGTTAACCATCTCCAAAACTAAAGGTATGGGCGAGATTGCAGGTGGCGAATCGTTCTCCAACTCTTCTGTGGACGTGGTTTCAACCATCTGGCTTCCATAATAGGATTCTGGTCTCATAAGAGTGAAAAGAACATTTTTGAAGTTATCGATATTCCACTAAATATGTATTCCTGCACATTCTAAACGACGACCTTTATGATCTTTGAGGAGAAGACGTGGAACTTTGCACCTAACGCTTTAAGTTTGCTTCTTTTATTTTCCGTCTAACTATTTTTGAACTCACATTACCGTACCTAGGAACGCGTGAAGCTCTTTTTTCACTTAATATACTGATACAAAGATGCCTGGACGTCAATCAAGATATATACGCATGTTTTATTGACTATAACAAAGCATTCGATAAAGTATGACATGTACAATTAATGAATGTCCCGAAATCAAAGAACATTAACTACAACGAACTCAGGATCATATCAAATACATGCTATAAATAGCGAGCAAAACTACGTGTTAACGAACAGCTGTCAGAAGAAATTGAAATTAGACGTGGAGTGAGACAGGGATGCGTATTGTCGCCATTTTTTTTAATGCCTACTCCGAAAAGATCCTGGAAAAAGCTCTTGAGGGTGAAACAGCTAGAATAAAGGTAAATGAAGTTCCCATTAACAGGATTAGATATGCGGACGCCACTGTGATCTTAGCCGAAAGTATTGAAGATCTTCAGAGACTGCTGACCAGAATAGCGGAGTATGGAAAAGAGTATGGTCTAACAATGAATGTCAAGAAGACGAAATTTATGAGAATATCGAAAACTCAAAGAAATAACAAGAATCTTCTAATAAATGGAACCAACGTCCAACAAGTGACAAATATGGATATTCAGGAACAATGATTAACTCCACAAATGGTTACATTCAGGAGATCAAAATCAGAATAGAAAATGTTAGAGCAAATTTCAACAAAATAAAAAGAGTGCTATGTACAATAGATTTAAAATTGGAACTAAGAGTTGAGTTATCGAGGTGCTATGTTTTTTCGACTTTGTTTTATGGAATGGAATCTTATACCTTGAATGCGACATAAATGAAAAATCATTCGAGCTGTGGGTGTACAGAACCCGTCACAAACAAAGAGGTTCTGAAAAGGATGAATAAAGAAATTGCTCCAACTGATTACGCAGAGAAAGATCCAAGGAAAGAGAAGCATAGGGAGGCGTAGAATGTCATGGCTACGCAACTTGAGAGAGTGGTACGAATGTACATCAAATGAACTTTTCAGAGCAGCCATCTCAAAAGTCCGAATAGCTTTGATGATTGCCGACCTCCGCCGCGGACTTGAAGAAGAATGGCATAAAAACAAGGTTACTGTTAAACATTAACAATAACTGATATTTTTGTCAGAATATTCCATAGGCTACTTGATAAATACATTTTTTGTGAAAAAGTGTATAAAGTTAATTTATTTGAAAATTGCAACAGATAGGTATACGGAATACCAATACAAATGGATAGCGTACAACATATTTTTCTAAAATATTGAATCACATACAGGGTGTCCCATTTGAAAAAAAGGAATTAGGGGAAAATTTAGGATTCCGGTTTTATGCCAATTTTGACAGCACCCTGTATAATGAAAAATGTAACTTTACACTGTAAACGATAAAAGTTCATAAGTAATTTAAACTTTTATTCAAATTACATTAGAGGATATTGAACTTTATACATGGTAGAAATGTATAATTTTCATATAAACCATTATAAAACGGTTCAGAATAGGTATATGGAAGTGTTAACAAAAAATGTTTAAAATAACGTGAATATTTCTAAAATTAAAAAATATACAGGGTGTCCCATTTAAAAAAACGAAGTTATAAGCAACTTCCGGAATAACCGGAAGTAGCATATGGATGAAAATATTTTCATTAAATAGGTCACTCTTTAAAACCCCTTTATTCCAATTTTCATGATTCAGTTACTTTTAGTTCACGAGATATTTCTAATTGGCCGTTTATCTGACACACTCTGTCTATGAATATTTTCTGGGGTAGATAGTCCTAACTGTTTTTGAACTGTGGGATATCTTCTCACTGGCTTCCTCCATGCTTAGACCATGTAAGCACTATTGTAACGTTTCGTTACAAAAAAGTGGTAGATGCTACTCTGTGTTTACAGTCTGTTAACATTTCGCTACATATTTCATCATTAATTCCACTATTATGAAGATTCAACATCGATTAAATTTGTATTATATCAAGTATAAAAAAGCAATGAGCTTTAATTTAGAAAATATGGAGTCTAAAGCAGGAGCGTCAACAAAGATAGAGAACTGCTAAATACTGTTAAACATCGAAAAATGTCTTATCTGGGACATATAGTAAGGGGAAGTCGATATAAAATATTACAACTGATTCTTACAGGCAAAATAGAGGGCCGTAGAGGTGTAGGAAGAAAACAAGTTACAACTTGGTTAAAAAAAACATTCGTGAATGGACTCAGATACCAAATGCAGGACAATTATTCTATATTGCAGAAGATCGAGAAGCCTTCACAATGGTGATCGCCAACGTCGGATAATTCTAATATGGCACGCGAAGAAGAAGGAGTCAAAAGCTCCAACACAGCCATCTTCATACATATGGGAATTTAGTAACTAAGCAATATTAAGAAGAAAAGGTTGACAGATTACATTACCTTTTTTGCCCAACTTGACGTCATCTTCAATATCATCTGATGGTTCAATATCGACGTCATCGCTCATGTCATCATCATCATCCATGTCGACATCGGTATTGGACAGAAAGTCTAAATTTGCCATCACAGCAGCTTCTGTATCTAATATCATAGCTTCTGCTAGAGAGCTTGGTTGAGCCTTTTTTGCAGGAGTTCGCCTACCTACAATTAAATTTCAATAAACAACATTATTCTACTTGAAAAACAAAAAAATTTCCATTGGATTTAATAAAGGGATGATAAAACTGAATTGTTTTGAATTTATCCACGTGATACTTAGGTATATAATTTAAAACATAATTAACCCTTAAGTACTAACGCCCCGTCTCTCAGACGGCATCGCTTGTCGAAAGTGGGATATCTCCCTACCTAAAAAATTGTGAAGGTCGTCCGTTTATGACTTTTCAAGTTGGGTTGTTATTTATTAGTATTGAGATCGACAGTTTGCTGCAGGTTGTTATTCCAAAGATATTTAGATTCAAAGTGTGATTTTCGTCTAATAGACTGGTTGTTAGTGTTCGTATTTATTTACTATTTACCTTAAAATGGATGAATGACCCAGTACGTCAAAAAAGGTCAAATATGGGGATAAAAAATACGAGGAAACTCTTTTGAAATGGCTTGATGAGGTACATGACGACATAAGCGAAGTTGAATCAATTTGTGATGAAAATGTTGCTATTGACAGGGATCACGAAACGGAATCGGAAATAGGGGGTAAGTCAAATCTCTTGGAATTATTATGTATTATTGTACTAAAGTTCGGTGTTACGGTGTTCGGTGTGTAGTATGCGGTCTACCTCGAGGGTGCGATCTACCTGATGCACAAAATAATAAGATGCAAGAAAAATCTTGTAAAAAAATTATTTATTCACAAGTAATAAACATTTGGAGCAAAATCCATGTAAAATAAAATGAAAGTAAATCTACCAGGCCATGTTATTTGAAAATAGGGGTTCATATTTGTGCATACTCTGGGAAAATATTAGAGTGTTATTTGCATATTACCAAAGAAACTAAATTTGCATAGTTTATTTTATATTAATTATTTCTATGGTAGAAATAGATACAAATGGTCAAAAAATCCTCCCACTTCAAATAGAGGCCCCCATCCACAGAAGAATATAGTTTTACAGTAACCTGGATTACGCCCTGCAGCTGAAATTGGTGATAGTGCAGATCCTTTGCAGGTTTTTAAGTGATTATTCAGTGATAATATTTGCAACATAATTCTTAAATGGACGAATACGAAAATCGGCAAAGAAAGAGCCAAGTACAACAATCGAAATTCACCTTCTCTCAAGTCCTTGACATGACAGAACTTGGTGAATTTTTGGAATTTTTAGAATTTACATGCTTATTTAAATCAAACAATGAAAACTTAATAATATTTTTGCTACTAATGGAACTGGTAGAGAAATAATGAGATGCATTATGTCAAAAGCGAGATGTGGATTCCTTTTGTCATGTTTGCGATTTGACAATCCCAAAGACAGAAATGAGAGAACAGTGTTGGATGCAGCATCACCGATATCAGAAATTTTTAGTGAATTTATTAACAACTGTCAGGCATGCTATACTATAGTAACTTCAGCTTGTATTGATAAAATGCTAGTGGGATTCAAAGCTCGATGTCGCTTCAAAATATACATACTGAGTAAGCCCGTAAAGTATGGTATAAAAATTATGTGTTGTACTGATATTCTTTATGAGTCATTTTAAAATAATACTCATTTAAAAAGGCCCAATTTTATTGAAAAACTGGCATTTCAACTTATCCAACCCCAGCTAAACAGAAGACTAGAAAGTTCCTCTTTACCTAGAAAACTAAAGTTGAGCATATGCGAGATGCTGGGTATAGATGAATCTCAACAACGTTCAGAAGAAAAAGTGGAAAAATTAGAAAAAAGAAAAGACTGTTCTTACTGTCACTATAAAGTGAAAAGAAGAACAGCTTATGTATGCTTTCATTGTCAAAAACCAATTGCTTGGAATGTGCGAAAAAGATTTGTTTGGAGTTCGCAACACTCTACCATCTTTAGTGACTATCAGTTTTTTTTTTTGTGTTAACATTTTTAAAAATCTTATTATTTTAATGTTTCTTACTCTTTTCTTAACCCGATTATAAATTTTTATCAATCCAATAAAGGTGGTAGAGTATGTGCTAGAAAACAGGTGATTCTACATTCTGTTACATGAAAAAGAAAGCTAACGGAAAAAATAAAAAACGCCCTGCCCTAAGGAAGCGTACTCACCCCAGTCCTGTTCAATATATACACAAATGACAAGCCAATAACAAAGAGTATTAGACACTTCCTGTCCAGTTTTGAACCTATCGATCCAGTTAAAACAAGTTAATGTCGTCCTCAACAAAACATGCAAGATAGTGAGTGACAGGATATATGAAACCTACCTAAAATGTGACAGGTTTCTCATTGTCCAGGGAACATACAACGTTTTAATAAACCTTTTGGGAACGACGCCCATTAGACAACAGAGAACCCAACCACGGAAGTCCAAAGTCCAGAGACCTTGAGGACCTCAAATCGTATTAGAACCGGCGAAATATCAGTAAAGACCAACAATGAATGAATTGAAACTTGCCGAGGAGAAAGACTCTAAGTAAGAGAACAAAGATGAACGTATAAAAGACCTTAATAAGACCTGCTGTTATATATGGGATGGAAACAAAGACGAATTAACAAAGAAGAAGATAGCCTACTGAAATTTGAAAGAAAAATAATAAGAATGGTACTGGGCCCTAATGTAACAAGAAAGGCAGAAAGAAGAATGAAAATAAATTCCGAAATTGAAGAATAATTTAAGGGAAAAAATATAGTCAGATACATAAAATCTCTTCGCTTAGAATGGATAGGATATTATACAGAGGCGCCCAAACTCAGATATGCTATATATACCACATATACCACTATGGCCCAGGTGTAGAGGAAGACCTACAAGATGTCTGGATGATGTAGAAGATGATATAAGAGCAAGAAAACGTGCAAGAAGAAGTTAAAGACTGGAAAGTTCAGTGAAAGGAGAGGAAGAAATGGAAAAAAAGTCACGACAGCAATAAAGACACACAGCAAGCTATAAATGACGTGGAGGAATAATTCACCTCGCCCAAGAATAGGATTTTGAACGCCTAGGGATTGTAAAGCTAAATGAATCAATGAATGATTAAAAAAAGTTAGCATCATGTATGTATAGCATTTTCATAGGAAATGCTTCCAATAAGAAGTATTTTAAAAACTTATGTAGAAATATAAAACAAAAGTAATAATCTGCGTATTGTATGTTCTGTTAGTACATCTATAAATAATGTAAAATAAATCAAGCAATCCTAATAAATGTTGAAATCTTACCTTGTGTTTCACTAGCCCTTTTGTTTGACTCATTGGTGTTAATTCCACTACCATTTTGGTTGTCCTCTTGATCAGCATTATTATTATTCAAACCTAGTAGGGATCGAACTCTCGTTGATCTTACATCAATTATTCGATCAGTATAACCTATCTCTTGTAAATACTGCCGTAAAAGTTGCCTTCCTTGTTTCCAAGTAGAATTTGATACTGACACATACGATTGGTCACTGTCTATTTGAGATTCACTAGACTCATCTATCACAGGTGGTTTCATATCACCTAAAACAGTAGTATTTTAACATCCAAATCCAATAAATTTATATAAAACACGATTACTTAAATAATTTTATTTGAACCCTTTTAAGACGATTTTTTACACAAATGTATCAAAATATCAAAAACATTTAACGAAAATGTTAGGGTGTTGGTGGGGGTGGTGGTAGATAAGTATGATACCATTAGTATGGTTTAATGATACGTATGTGTAACAACAGTCCTGCGTAAACATGTTATTAATATATTTTATTACTTTATTACTCAAAAATAAAAAATATTATTTACGGTGATATATAGCGAAACATATGCACATTACATAAAGCAGTGTTTCCCAAAGTGGGGGTCGCCATGAGGTACTAGGGGGGTCGCCGAACATTTCCAAAATAAGACAAAAGCATCACTTTGTTAGATCATGATTTTTTATTTTAACAACGCCGTAAATAGAAATTAACAATTAATTATCAGACAAAATATAAAACTAAATATTAAAGTCCGTAAAAATAAAAGAGTAAAACAAAGTCAAATATTATAATCTTAATTAGAGCTATGCGCCTGTTTCTGTGAAACTAATCTTTCAAATCTAGGCTGTGTATTTGAGACACACACAATTATATCATTTTCAAGTACGAGACGATTTCTAACTCTTGTTTTAATGGCAGTTATAGACGAGAAACTTAACTCCCACAAATATGATGTTACAAATGGAACCAAACATTTTACAGCTTCACTCACCAACTGAGGGTATTCCTGCATCTTTTCGGTCCAAAATTGGTCCGAGTTCTGGGAAAAAAATTGGAGCTTCAACATTCCATCACTTGATATTTCAATAAGTTTTTCTTTCATGTTTATTGGTATTTCAACATGCTGAAAGGAATCGGCTAAAAACGGATTTAGTATCCATCTGCAACTGTCGTAACTGTTTTGAATTTCTTCGGGGAAATAATCACAGAGCTGTTGTTTTAAATTGAGCAAAAGTAACATGCATGTCAGCAAAAACTTGTTCAAAATATGTAGCGCTGTAATTGGATACATTTTCCATAATTTCCTGAAGGCACTGGAGTGAATCGAGTTGTTTTTTGTCAAGTGAGGTCGACCATAAATCGATTTTTCTTAGAAACGCCTTAATTTTATCTGTGGCTGTAATTGTATTAATGTCGCGACCTTGTAAATTACTGTTCAAAATATTTAATTGCTCGAAAATATCAGCAAGGAAACCTAGTTTCAGAAGCCAAATAGGATCGGAAAATTGATTTTCATATGGGGACTTCTCATCTTTCACTCTGTTCTTAAGTGAAATACTCTTTTTAAGACGTTGCCCCTTAAAAGCCACCTTACTTCAGTGTGATAGAGAAGATTTTCAAATAAAGCACAGATGTCTTCGCAAATTTTTCGCAAAAATACGGGTGTGCAAAGCTTTTCCTTTAATGGAATTTAAAACTTTAATGATGGTTTTCATAACACAGTCCATTTCAGGAGGTAAAGCTTTGGACGCAAGAGCTTCTCGATGTAAAAAACAATGTCTCCATTTGGCTATAGGCATTATTTCTTATAATTTGACGACAAGACCAGATTTATGTCCTGTCATAGCTTTAGCGCTGTGCATATAGCAATACATTTACCCCAGTCAAATATCACATTGTACATTTCACTAAAGTGTCGAGTAAACATTTTCCAGTGGTATTGGTCTCCAATGAGGAACAAAATAAAATATCTTCTTGAATGTCATTATTTGTATCATATCTTACAAACGTAATGAATTGGGCACAGTTAGATATATCTGTGGATTCGTCCATTTGAAGAGAGAAGTACGTGCATTTATTAAGATTTTCCACAACTTGCGCTTGAATATCTTCTGCCATATCACTAATTCTTCTTTGGATAGTATTATTTGACAGAGGTATTGTATTTAGTTTTGCAGCCTCTCTTTCCCCACAGATTATATATACCATTTCAACAGCTGCTGGAAAAATTAGATTTTCAGCAAGTGTGTGCGGATTACTAGTTTTGGCAACACGATAAGCAACTTTATAACTTGCTAATAATTATTTTTCATTAGTAATGGTTGCCAAGGGAAAACTGTCTTGCTGTTTGTGAAGGACGTTCAGCTTTCTTTCAAAGAATTCTACGGGCTTGTCTTTTTGATCTGGATGTTTGCTATTTAAATGTCGAAGTAACTTTGATGGCTTCATGCTTTCTTTTGACAAGACTTGTCCACAAATAACACATTGTGGTTTATTGGAAATAACGGTAAAGCCATATTTAAGATATTCATCAATGTAGAATCTGTTTTTCTTTTTATTGCTGCTACTGCCACTTTCAGACATAGATGGTTCTGCACTTCTTTTTAAAAACTTATCCATAATTTATAATTTATCGTAGACGTAAATACGTAAACGGGAATACTTAAGTCGTAAAATATTTACTCATTACTCAACACCGCGTTCGCCAACATAGGCTGTTTGGATTCGAACTGAGGTTTCGTTGCGCATCGCCGCTTATTTAAAGCCAAAACGAGGCTACGAGAACGTTCCAGATTGCCATCTAGTAGCGAGCGCTTTCGCGATTATCATGGAAGAGTTTTGCGATGTAGACACAAGCTAATATGTCGCAGTGTACAATGTGCAGTCGACTTCTTATTATTTATTTTTATTGTAAATGCTATTCTGGCAAAAGTACCTACTACTAATTACTAATGGGACAGATTGCAATCATTAAAATAATTGTATTAAAATAAAATAATTGTTTTTGATTTAAACTTAAACAGTAAAGTAAAATTAAATTTGAGAAACCATCAGATAATTGTAAATTAGGCACGCTATTTCTGTCAAATAATATTGAATGAATGGGTGGGGGGGGGGGAAAAATTGGGGGGGTCGCGGTTTAGATAAGTTTGGGAAACTCTGACATAAAGAAATGCCGCACTTTGCAAACGGTATCTATACCTGTCTGCGTTTTATTATCGTTATCGTTGCACCTTTACATCGTTTTTTTGTGTTTCCTTCAATTGGAAGATGTAATGATGCACTTTTGAAACGTTTTCTTTTTATAGATACTCTTCCCGTCTTAGACAAATGTCATACAGCAACTCTTTTTTGTTCTTCAGCAATCATTTCTTCTGCAGAGGTACCAAAAATTGTATGAGAAGTTTTTGTCTTATTTTGTTTTTTTTTTGTAAATAATCTATGAGTTCACAACTCACATCATAAGTAAATGATCTAATACTTTTTTCCACTATTGGTTTCCACTATTATGAAATATTTAATATTATGTACACTTCATTTTTGAGAATTTTAAGAAGTAAATCTACATAAGCTGTCCGTTAAAATAAATACTTTATAAAGGTTGAGTTTACCGAAAGTACGTGCTGATTATAGCCGCAAATGTCAAACATTTCGGTATAGAAGTGTTGGCATGATTTTATAATGTAGATGCTGTATGCTTCAAATATAAAAATATAAAACTTTAGAAAAGTACAGTTTGTTTATATTAGGTTAAGCATTCTGCAATTTTTGATTTATATAAAACAACAATGAGTAAATATTTGTTTCTTTTGACAAGGGATAGATTTGGCAATCGTCAAATCAGCAGTTGCCAGATTACAACAGATGTTTGCAATTAATCTCGAAAGTGACAAATATCTACTCGTTACTGCTTCATATAAATTAAAAATTGCAGAATTCATAAAATAGTATAATCAAAATGTACTTTTTAAAAGCTTTATCTCTTTATATTTTAAGCATACAATATATGCATTATAAAAACATGCCAACACTGCCAAGCCGAAATATTTTTGACATTTGCGGCTATATTCATCTTGTACTTTCGGTAAACTCAACCCTTATAAATTAATTATTAATATTATTTTTCAGGGTAATACACCAGCCCAAGTTGTGAAAAACAAAAGGAAAAACAGTATTATGTTTGCCAACTAAATCCAATACAGTTAATATGGGCTCAAGTAAAAGGCGAAGTGGCCAGACAAACTACAACTTTTAAATTGAAGCATGTCAAACAACTTAACTCCATAAAAAAATGTAACGAAAGATAAATGGACGGACCAATACCGTGAATCACGTAAAAAAAAAGGAGTAAAGATTCTAGACTGTTGATAATAACATTGAAGAACTTTGCCAATCTATAATCATTCGCAATCATTCAGGTATATATGTGTATATCCATGGGTTTGTATTGTTATTTATATGTGAATATGGTGGACTCTTGGAAAAATAATATTTAACACTACATTTCAACAGAAGAGGATATTATTTTAAGTGATTTCAGTTTGCAGATTAGTGAAGATTTGCATTTTTGTAATGAGCTGCCAGTTGCCAGAAACAAACAAAAGTATAGTTAAAAAAAAACAATCAGCACAAGTATTCTAAAAACCAAGTATCGGTTTAAAGTTGAATCTTCTTACGATCTGCTCAAAGAAACTTTTGGTCCAGCATTTTAATATTAGTCCGTGTCTGAACTTACCTTGTTGCAACTCTGTGCCATATTTTAATTTGTGGAATTTGGCTCTTTCCTGTTTCAAAGCATATTCCAGCATCTTGATACGTCGCACCAAATCATTCTTTAAATTTTCTTGACCTTTTCGTTCTCCCTGAAGAAATGCAATTCGAGCCTAGAACAAAATTATTTTGTTAACCATGATAAAAAATTCATTAGTAAATTATAGTTTTCATGAAGATTTTTCTTATTTTTTAATGGTTAAGACATTTAGAAGTCTTATTAAAAAATAGCGGGGCATTTTTTTTCGGTGGCTTTAACTTCATAAATGTTACGTAAATAAATAATTACAATACCTTTAGTAGACATTATAGCATGAATTTATTTTTTTCAGTTATATTTAGGATTTTTGTTACAAGAAATTTATATTCAAGGATAAATGTGTTTCTTTATTGAAGGTTAAAACTCAAACACTCAACTCTCTTAAAAAACGAACTAACAAATTCTGTATCTGTTTTATCTAAGTTTATGAATTAGATAACAAAACACTTCTTGGATCATATAAACTCCCCCATTATCCTTCATACCTCCATTAGAGATTATGATTTGTTACAACATAAACATATATTTTAGCTAGACGACCAGTGAATGCCTACACCAAATTGAAAAAATGTCTCAAAAAGAGAATCAACTGGACTATGAAACTTGGATCGAAATAAATTAACAAATGATTATAAAACTAAGATAAAACGTTATAAAAACTAACAGTGATGTAGAAATTAAAATAAGAGTAGTGATGACAAGATTAACAATGGTTTAATTTCAAAAACACTTATGTCGGAAGGATGTTAGTTAATGTACTAATCAGAAGCAATGTGGACGATGATAGATCAATAAAACAATATAGAAATATTCAAAAAATATAAGAAAGGCAAAGCAAAAGATGTGAAAGAATACATATGACTACATTAGAAATGCATCAGAATGCGGTGACTACATATAATCCGTCGTCAATAATTCCCGGCCCTAACTAGTAAAACAACATGTTGCAAAAATTATATTTTATCAAAATAATCTCCTTTAGTCATTATACAATAATTCCAACGTTTTTCTAGTTGTTTGATGCTGCCCTTGTAAAACGATTTATTTTTCAAAATCCACAAGGAAAACAATTCCTGTAGCTGGCTACAGTACACGTATCACAAAAAAGATAGTTTCCAGCTGTTCTCCGTGTGTAGAGGTTTACTCTCCGGCTCTGGAACTCACTTCAGCCATGTATGTTACCTGAAGTCATATTTAATTTAATACTGAACATCACAGTTTTTTAAACATGATGTATAATCTTTTACAACTATATGTAATTTAAAGGGTTTTTACCCTGTATTTTGGTGGCTCAGGCATTTTAACCTAGCAATTTTAAAATTTAAACCTGATAATGGACTGTTTAGACCGAAAACGTTTGTTTTTTTGATGTAGCCCTTTTAAGGGTTTTTAAATAAATATACCCATTTACGAAGACTAACCTCTTTTTTTTATTTATTTTTCCTTCAAAATAAGTTTCTTTCCTCATCGGGGCCTTATCTCTTGTCACGGATCATTTTTTCTTTAGATCGGAAAGATGGTAGTCGCTGGGACTAGATCTAGACTACACGATGGGTTCGGAAGCAAGTCAAAGCCCAATTCGTTCATTTTTGCCATCGTTTTCATCGAATTGTGACACGGTACATTGTCTTATTAAAACAACATTTTTTCAAATTACAAATTTTTTCTTGAAAAAAAAGTTGACTTTTCTTTGCAATTTCGGTCTTCAAACGCTCCCATAAACCAATATAGTACTTACTGTTGATTGTTTCTCCATATTTCAAGTGGTCAATGAAAATAGTTCCTTGAGGGTCCCACAATACAAAGGCCATAACTTTTTCGGCGGTTTTTTGCGTCTTTGGTCGCTTTGGACAGGTTTCTCAGGTGATGTCCACTCACATGACTGCCGATTTGATTTCGGAGTAAAATGATGGATCCATGTTTCATCCATTATGACATACCGACTCAAAAACTTCGACTTATGATTAGACATGTCCAAACTGCACCGAGATTCATTAATTCGTTGTTGTTTTTGCTCTGGTATGAGAAAACACGGCACCCATTTTTAAAAGAGCTTTCTCGTACCCAAATGCTTATGTATACCAGGCAAAATGCTACCCTTTATTAACTTTAGAGTGTCAGCTATCTCTTGCAACTTCACTTTGCGGTTTTCTATAATAATTTTCAGCATTTTATGATGTTTTCAGAAATAACTGCATCATTTGGCCTGCCGCAGCGCTAAGGGTCATTGGTGTCGATAAGACCGTGTTTGAATTCAGCTAACCATCGTTTAATGGTTGTAAGCAATGGAGCAAAGTACCGGTAACACTTTTTGAGCCATTGCTCAGTTTGGACGGTATGTTTTCCCATCAAATAACAGTGATAAATCGATATACGAAATTGCTTTGAATCCATTGTTTATAAAAATCACAAAAGTAGCGTCACTTAAAACACTGAAAATCGGTAAACAATGATCCGAATGGCAGGAACATTTTAGCAATGTGCTTTTAAAAGTTAGGACTACCGAAATTCATTACAGTCGCCATCTCATGGTTAGACCTGGGACTCATTACGTACTTTATTTTATTTTTATTTATTTAATACACGGGAAAATCCCATTAACAGTTTAAATTACAATATACAATATCACAGTTAGGATTCAAAACTTAAAATTACATATAATATAAAATCGATATTAAAATGTTTAAAAAAAATAAGACTAACAATCTTGCATACTAAAAAAAAACAAAGTATAACAAGAACAAAATTCAACAATCCCAATATACATACATATCACAAAGAAAGAGATCTTTTTAACTGAGTTAAAGTTCTATTGAACATATCAAAATCGCAATCATTTAATAGCCCCATGTATTTATCCAATGGGTTGTGAATACCATATGTTGCTCTGTGGAAAGGAATATTGAAAAACATTGTGGTACCGTAGAGCTTGGTGGAATGGTGCAACATTCAAGTTAATCTGGCTTAACAGGCTTGGACAATCAACAAATCCATGTATGATCTTATATATACCATTTTTCAAAGTAAAACACTTGCACGTAACGATTTATAAAAAGTGGCGTCACTTGTATTTAAAATTTCCAGAACATCAACCTTAGAGTTCAAATTTTCCTAACGCAGTTAATAATACGAAACCCATCCGGAACTGCTCGATCTTTCATAGGCGCCAACATGGTGTAATAATCATAATCAGAGAAATGTAATCATCATTATATTGGACATTTTAGAATTATATTGTTTAAATAACCAAAAACATTTGTTATTATTAATATTATTAATAATATAAATTTTATGAAATAATCCTTTTAGTCTAGTAATTAATTAAATATATTAGACAATTGTACGCAACTGATACGGAAATACTTCAAATTTTATTGACAGTTGAGCGCGTGGCAAAAGTGTATTAAGTGTTGCCGCTTCTTTAGAGTAGGAATTTTGTTTATGTTTTGATTTCTTACACAATTTGATCATAATATAATATATATTCATAAATTGTATTTATAAATACATATTAAATTTAGATTAATAGCTTTAAAAACTAATTATTGTTGTGTATTGTGATTGTGATATGCCAAAACAAATAAATAGTCTGTAGAAAGCTGATAAACTTTCAGATGAGATAGATTATTTTGAACAAGAAATAATGGCGGGACGTTTTTACTATTAAAGCCCTAAAAGAGGTAAGTTTAAAATTTAGAATATATAATTTTGTATTAAAATGTTTTCCTATGTATTTTAATGTGTTGCAGTGGTCTTAAAACTAAGTGTATTTACTGTTAATATCATAGTTTGACAAATAGTTGACATTTTAAAAATGTCAACTATTCTGATGTTTTGGAAACGCTGTGGGGTTCTGATGATGTATATCTAAAATTGTTGTTCGGTACGGAAGTAATCATGATTTTTAATAGTAGTGTGGATGTGGTAAGTACAATATCTCAAAAATGTATGATGGACTCTTTCTATGGTATCAATATTGTTCTGAAAATAGGGTGACCAAATAACTAAACAGTATTCCAAAATAGTTCTAACTAAGCAACAATACACTAATCTTGTTCAATTAATGGAGAAATACTTGCAATTCCTAGTAACGAAACCAAGAAGTTTAGATGCCTTTATTCAAATAACATCGAAAATAACACCCAAATCCCGAATAGAAGAAACATAATTCAGTGGCTGATTATTAATAGTATAGCTTGTTCTAACACACTTTACGAGAAAAACTTATAAAACAACATTTTTTTACATTTAGGTAGAGTTTGTTCTGATTGCACCAATTTTGTAGTCTGTCTAAGTCATCTTGTAGCAAGGCTTGATCTTTTAAAACTGTCTATAACTTTCCAAAATTTCAAGTCATCTGCCAACATTAGACATTTGCGATTTAGGAAACAGGAAGTGATGTCGTTAACGAATATATTAAAAAGAAGTAGAGAAGTGTGGCCTCCTTGAGGAACTCCAGATGTTATTGAGATACTGTCAGATAGATGACAACCTATCTTGACTCTCAGAGTTTTTAATCCATTCAACAAACCTGACATGAAATCCTACATTAATTAATTTGCCCAAAAGTATTTGATAATCTACACGATCAAATGCCTTGGAAAAATCTGTGTATATTGCATTTACCTATTTACGGTCTTCCATATGAAATAATATATCAGATTGATAGCAAACCAAATTTCTTGCAGTGAATATTTTGCTATGAAAACCATATTGCGATTGAGATATTAAGCCTTTACATAACCAAGAAAGTTGCTTTGCTGTAAGACTGTCGAAGAGCTTAGGGATTGCAGATTGTATACAAATGCTACGATAATTTTCAATATTGTCTTTCTAACCATTTTTAAATATAGGAACAACATAACTTTCTTTCCATGAAGAAGGAAACACAGAGGTTTCCAAAGATCTATTAAACAATATAACAAATGGTATTAAAAGGGTACAGACACACTTTTGTAATAAAAAATTAGGCACAACATCTGGATCAGCAGTAAGCTTATTGGGCAGCTGATTTATGCCATTAATATCAGTCATTGTAATCTTAGGACAAATATTTGTACTAAAGTTGCTATT